TTTTTGCTAGTTCCTATCAAAAAGGCAATTATGATCACAGTCAATATTCTGTACTTGTAATCAAATGTGTCCAGAGGCCTGTTTTACTCTCTCAGATGAGCCAAGCCATTATTAGGTTAATATGTGAAAAGCTTTGTGCATACTGCTGGGATCCATTCTGCAATAGTTTGAAGAGAAAAGGGAAGAGTTAGAAAATATAGAAAATTTTAAAAATTGTGCGCACTTTGTGCCCAGTGCCGTGGCTATGATATGACTCAACCTTTTATCATTTTTTCCCCTTAGGTTATTATAAAACCAATCCCTGGTGGATCAGAGCAGCCTGAACTGTATGATGTGGTGACACCCAAAGGATGGGCTGGTGACAAAATCAAATTGAAAATTGCTGTTAAGATGGATAAACCTGTGAACTTGAAAAAATGCGGGTTTGTAGTGGAATGTTATAGCCTTGTTCTAGCATGCGAATGGGCCATCATCATCAGCGCTGCAGGACGCGCGTTTCTGTGCTCGATGAAAGATTTGATATGAATCGGAGAAAGGTTTACCGGGGTCGTGGAAACTCAGTGCCAGACCCCTTGCAGACCTCTCGCCGGCTCACCGGCGGCGCTCAAGGCCCCATACTCTCCCGATAAAAGAGTCGGACGTTTCGTCCTGACAAAGGGCTAACGCTCGAAATGTCAGCTTTGAAACCGTGGCCAATTTACGTTATCAACTTAGTTGATGAAACCAAATTACCCTGTTATACTCTTTCACGGACGTAGCACCACAGTTTCTTTAGAAACGTACCCTCTTCCTTCATTTGTCTTTGTTTATGGGAATGTTTCTAAAACTGCCCAATGTAATGGATATGAACTGATAATGCAAATTATTTTTTTGGTTCATTCCAGGATGATATATGTTCAAGGAAAGACTGTTTGGAAAAAGTGGAAAAAACGCTTTTTTGTACTAGTACAGGTAAGGTATCTTGTTTATTGTCTGTGAACGTAAACCTGATCACCTGGTAAACCGAAGGAGTTTCTGGAATAGAGCCATACTCTCCAGAGTTTAACAGGGTAATTTAGTATTATCAACTGAGTTGATAACGTAAATTGGCCAACGTAAAGGGTTTCAAAGCTGAGGTTTCGAGCGTTAGCCCTTCGTCAATCGCTCTGTCAATTCAGTTTCAGCAATCAATTCAGTTGATAATACTAAATTACCCTGTTATACTCTTCCACCGGCGCAGCACCACGGTTTCTTTAGAAACTTAACCCCTTAACCCCCCACTGACCAAACTCTTTGGCACGCAGCTGCAAGGTCTGGACATTTCAACACAAATGCAGTGATGCTAATGTGAGCTAAAATGTCTAGTTAATTTCTTGTGCTCGCTGGGTCTCAAGGCCGACTTTTGTTTTATCTTAGAAATAGTTTTGCCAATCCTATATGGGTTTTGTCACCGAACGCATAAACGTTAGACGATTAAGTTTTTTTACCTTTTACAGGTGAGTCATTACACCTTTGCCATGTGCAGTTACCGTGAGAAGTCAGCTGAACCAACAGAGATGATGCATTTAGAGGGGTACACTGTGGATTACTGTGAAGCAGTCAGTGGTGGGTTACTCGGATAACATGTCCGATTGATTTCAATTGGTATCTCTGCTCTCGACTCTTTAGTAGTGCAAATTAATAATTAAGTATTGTACAAACATGTCTCTTTTGTAGGTGAAGAGCACAAAGGTGGAAAGTTCTTCTTCAAAGCCGTAAAGGAAGGTGATCAAGTCTTGTTTGCGACTGATGAGGAACTTGAGAGACAGATCTGGGTTAATAAGCTTTACACTGCTACTGGCCAATCCCACAAGCCCATCGCTCCGAATTTATCAGCCATCAGTGTCCAGCCACATGTTAGCAACACCTTGACAAGACTGCAAGGAGGTAAGATGTTGAGCAGGCTATTGCGGGTATATATTTTCAGTAATGTCGGAGTTCCCTGTTAATCTTTACACCCTAGCGTCTGTTTACATATTTTCCATACTGTTCTCTTTGCATTTCCTAAGGTGCTGACCAGGAGAATTTGTTTAACAATCAATAGTTTCTTAAGTTGGTGATCATTTCCTTTATTCTCGTGACCTTAACGTCGGTTTTTTTGTAGCTCCAGTTTACAAAATGTTTCTTTTTCACACCCAAGCTCCAACCACTTTAAAGAGCGTTTCCTAAAACGTTCTTTCGGCAATGGACGCAATTTATTCCAGATTGGTGTGGACTGAAACCGTTACGGTAGCATTTTAGCTTCTTTTGCGATGTAAACTACAAATTACTTTTTTGGTTTGGTATTTGTTGTTTTTGTTCATGTGTGTTTCTTTATTTGACTCATTAGATCATGACCGTGCTAGAAAACATGGCCTTGAGGACTTGATCCAAGCTGATCCTAGCTTTTTTAATCACCATGTTCTGTTTGAGAAGCTTCAGCTTCTCACTCTAACACACAGACTGAACGACTCCTACTCTTGTCTGGTATGGAACCTTCAAGATTTCTTTTGTAATTCTCCTTTCTAGCTTCACTACTTCAGGTTACTCGTGAGAAATCGGTGTCCTGTATTGTAAGCCATCGAATATTTTTGCTCGACTACGATTGGTTTAAGGGCGTCACGTGATCCGATATGCCCCAACTAAAACGGGGGACTTCGGCTCTAGGTACAGGTGTTTTGTTAAGTTTGTTGAGCCACAATACTGTATCATTTCTTTCAGGGTTGGTTTTCCCCTGGTCAGATATTTGTGCTGGATGAGTATTGCGCTCGATATGGAGTACGTGGCTGCCACAGACAACTGTGTTACCTCAGTGACATGTTGGACAGAGCAGAGGCTGGTGTAATGATCGATCCCACCTTACTACACTACAGCTTTGCATTTTGCGCATCACATGTGCATGGGAACAGGTCTGTGTCTTTTTGAGAGATGTGTTCACTCATAACTCAATATGCGGCCCTATCTCACTTGTGAGTTCTCAGAGATAAAAATATTTTTTCCGCATTTTCGATCCAAGCGGTATAAAGACGCTTGTCAGATATAAACCAGCTTCACTTCTGGCCTGACTCGGTTCTATTCTTTTATATCAGGCCGGATGGCTTAGGAACCATTACAGTGGATGAAAAAACCCGGTTTGAGGATATTAAGATACGCCTCTGGAATCTTCTTGCCTATCAAATCACTCGTTTCAGGTATGAACTAGATACGATAAGCAAGCTCAATGACCATGGCAGGATTGCTCCAGATCTTTTCTCGTCCTTTGTGCCCTCGTTGCTCATAAGTGGTTTTTTTTTTTTTCGCAGATATTCTTTTCCTTTTGGGAGACCAGAAGGGGCACTTAAGGCAACGCTGTCCTTATTTGAAAGGGTAACTTGAATTTTAAAATTTGTTCTTTGATTGATTAACACCCTCTGTGCGATTTCTCCGCCATCTTTGCGGTTCGTGTGCAACTATTTTTTTGTCGCTGAAATTTATTACGTCACAGCGAAGTGGCCAGGTCGCTAAACATTAATCAAAATAGCGGCTTCTGTGCTTGGAAGAATGTTGGAAGAAATTCGATGCTGGTCTTTTTTAGGGGTTAAAGAGTTAAGTGATGAATCTTGTTATCGTCGTTAGGTTATGATGAAGGATATTTCCACACCTGTTCCACCAGAGGAATTTAGAAAGGAAATCAGAAGCTGCCTTCATCAAGCCGCTCTTGTTAATTATACCCGGGTCTCGGCTTATGCAAAGATTGAAGGTAGGTCTTGACTTTTTTTCAGGAATTTGTTAATCGTTTGATCTCCTTGGATGATCTACCGCCGCCTGCAAAACCTCTCGCTGCCGTCCGTTGAGCCCGCGATCAACCTCACGTGTTTGAGTTTCGCCCTACAGCACAGCCACCTCTTATAGCATCGGCAGCCACTCATGGAAAACATCATTGAAACCTTCTGGTGTATATTTAACGCGTAAAGTTGAAATAAGACATGAGTGAAGAACTTTACAAAAACTGTTACAGTGCCTCTCTCTACTCAGCGGTGTAACGGCCAACAGCGTCATGTAAGGGATAGCCTACTAGCAGTCCTTCCCTTTCGGCGAAGCCCGTCGCGCAAGTCAAAAAGACTTTTCGAGCGCCTCATTTCAAGAGCTTCCTGTGGCGCTCTAAAATGAATCTTTGTTGTCACTGTTTGTTATTCGCGCGAAGGACTTCGCCGAAAAGTAGGAACTGCTCGTATTCTATGTAAGGAAAACCTGAGAAAATTCTTGGATGGGTAGGAGAGGGGTTTGACGTGGGTGGACTGGTTCCCGTCCGGGGGTAGGGAGGGGTAGCAATGTTCTTCGTCCTTCGACGTAACAGTAACAGGATAACTCCACGCTCCACTCGCCTTGTATACAGAACAATAACAAAATGGATCCCAACGTTTACCTTCTAGAGTCATCCGGAAATCACGTGTCACCTGAGACTAAACTGAATGACATCATGCATCTGGCGGAACTGTGTATTGATTTACTCCATCAGAATGAAGAACATCATGCTGAGGTATGGAGGTATATGGGCGTTAACCGAATGGCATCTTGTTCCTCAAATTTTTATTTATTTTTCTTGTTTTCATTTTAACCAACTCAGTGGAGTCAGAATACTCGTTCCAAGCTCCTTACTTAATCATTATGCGGCTAATGTACGCAGAGCATTCGATTTTCTTTTCCTTCAACTTGTTTCATTTTTCTTTATGTCCAGGCGTTGGCTTGGGTTTCCGACCTGATGGTAGAACATCAGGAAATCTTCTGGTCTCTGTTCACTGTTGATATGGATGCTGCTCTGGCTGCACAGCTTCCCGACACATGGGAGAGTTTTCAGCTGTTTCAACTGTTAAATGAATATCTCTGTAATGATAGTAAGTAACAGTCAACGTTTAAAACCTGGGCCCAGTTGTTCGATGGCCGGTTACTGCTAACCCTAGGCTAAACTTTAATCCGGGTTTCTTTCTTCCTTTGTACAAAAACCTTCTCGGGAAAGTTTTCTCTTTTCTTTTAAAACATCCAATAATCAAATTCTACACCTTTTTTTCGTTAAAGCCTTCAGATCTGATATCAGATTTCACACTAATCCTGGGTTATCTTAACCCAGCTTTGAACAACCCGGCCCTGAACAGCAAGAACACTACGGATGAGAAAAGAAACCCCTAACTTTTTGATTCCTTGGAGTGACTAGCATCTAATTTCTCCTTAAAATATCCCCCCTGAATCACAACTTAAGCTCACCGGAATAAAGGAAATTATCACCAACTGAAAAAGGGCTTGATTGTTATACAAATTCTCCTTGTCAGCACTTAAGGAAATATTATTAAGGCATACTGATGTTAGAGTGTAAATGGTGCAAAGATTCCAAGACATGTATCACTGTGAAGGAATGGGCGCGCGAAAACTCGCTTTCTTTAAACGGAAAAAAACACGATAGCGGTCAACTTGATTTGACGAATCTTTTGCAAGGGAGGGGCGCTTCTTGAAAATTTTGGTTGATAAAAAGGGTTACTTATTCAAGAGGAGGTGCTGATGGAAGGATTCGCAGTATGCGTGTCTTATTTTGCTATGTTCTCTCCTGTTTAGCCAACCTCAATCGTGGGAAATTCCACCGTCATTTACGAGATATGTTCGCTCCTCTTGTTATTCGATATATTGATCTGATGGAGTCGTCCATTGCGCAGTCACTGCACAAGGGATTTCAAAAAGAGAACTGGACTCCCCTCAGGTTAGAGCCGTGATAGTTTTAGACCTGTGCGAAATTTTTTGTGAACAGTAATCTTATTTATTCTGTATCCCTTTTTGTAGAGAGGGGTGCCGTGCTTCGGAGGACCTGTTCTGGAAGTTGACTGTACTGCAACAGTTCATTGCGGAACTAAACTGGCCCGATGAGGTGTTAGCGTCTCATCTTATGAAGAGACTTAAGTTGATGGCTTCAGATATGGTTCAGTCCTGTGTGAAAAGGTAATTTTATCGTATAATTGTTCAGTCAACTCTGATTAGAACGGCTTATTGTTCGCAAATTATGAAAACCAGGTTCTCACAGAAAAAAAAACCCTTCCTTGAAGGAAAAAAAACGCTTTGTGCAATTGGTTGGAGAAGGAATTCTTACTGTTGCTGTTGTTTAAAATTCTCTACAGTCTTTGCATGTAAACGTCATACGCCCTTTGGGATAAACTACTTCCTCGACGGGTTATTTATGACCAATCCTGATCATCTTTAGATCCTGTTTTGTTTTTAATCCTTATGTGAGGTTATATTTTACAAAATCTGGCGAACATGATCAAGGCAACTCTTATCCTAACCTTTTTTTACTCTCGTTGCTCTCAGAACGAAGGCCGCGTTTGACAAATGGCTGAAACAAACCAGTTTCAGTCTGGAACTACTCGTACCCAGGACCGTCTGTGTCATGCTCAACGTCGTCATACAGGCTAAGAAACAGGTAAATCCTGTTTAGAATCCCGTTCCTAAGGATTCAGGTCGCGCAAAACGTTTTTATACGCGTTACAAGATGAGACCCATTGCATGTCAGTGTTAGTCTAAGGACTTAGCACAAACTCATGGCCAGCGATAACGTTTTGGTGTCCTAGAGTGCTCTAATTCCCTTTGTTTAGTGGACGTTTTGTTATTTCTTATGTCAAGTCGTGAGTGTTGTTTTAGCTATTTTCCCAAATGAATTATGTTTTGAAGAGACCCTTCAATGAAAGGTGACAGGAGGTTTCACTTGGGCGTAAATTAGAGAAGTCTTTGATTGAGAATTAAAAGTAAAGTTAGATTGCTTTGCTTTTATTTATTACATCCCGTGATTGGACCAGAGAATCCTTGCCACCCTAGTTATTGTGACCAACAGGGGTTTGGTTCTAGGACACTCAGTCGAAATGCGTCCAAAGCGAACTGTTAATTCAGTTTTTAAGATAATTATACCAGTATCGTGAACTGGTTAGGAAAATTGAAATTGAAAATTGAAATTGCACCAGAGGACAATAAGGGTTTAGTAAATTGTTTAGAAATATTGTGCGTTAAAATATTATCTCTGTTAATATTTACAGTCCAGATTCCTTTGTGCGAGGGAAGAGTCCGAGAGTTGCGAGGTAAATAAATGAATATATATTTTTATTTTAGCGTCGAAAAATGGCGAATTTTGCTTCAGTGTTGTTTTACAACGCTCTGTGATTGATAAGAATTCTATTGTGTGATACAAAACTTAGATTCATTCAGTTCTTGGTTACTCGTATTTTTTCACTCTTGAACCCACTTTTGTTTCCTTGAGTTTCCATCAGCTCCGTGTTGTGATTACTTTGTTCGTGGGTTTACAGACAATACCTAAAAAAGTGGTATTTCTTTATTGTATTGAACAGATTTCCTTTCTCGTTTTATTTCACAGTATCGGTATCACTCAGATGTCAACATCTTTCTAAAGGATGTTATCCAAGAGATGTTTTCATCGTTTATTTCCAAGGTTTGCAAGACGTTATAAGATTCCTTTTTTCTTTTTTCAATTTATTCTCATGTTTGTTACACAGGAAACTGTTCTAATCTTGTCTTTGCTCCTTCCGTTTTAATTTAAATCCGTGTTCATTTATCTTTTAGCTGAACACCGTGCTGGAATCGTTGTTGTCAAAGATGGCACGTTATGACCAGGGATCCATACTTGCTCCGATGTTCTCTCTGAGGGTATGTTCATTTTTATTTCACCGCGGAGACTTGGTATCTTTCTGGCCTATTAGTGTTAATGCGTTAAACCCCTGATCGCCGAAGTCGGAGTTCTCGAGAAAGACACGTTACTTTTACTTCGCCCTTCTTCGCGCGAGAGTACAGAGAAATTTTCAGATGACTGTCAAAAGTAATCCGATCAGCTTTGCTTTAGTTTTGCTTTGCTTCGCTTGTTTTTTAATTCAGAAAACTTGCGTCAATTTTTTCAACCGATTAGATTCAAAACTAAAATCAATTGCGCCTTTGTCACTTGCGTTTTCCCGCGCTTCAAGAAGTCTGCTTGTTTTTCTTTCAAGTTCTCATCTGTCGGTAAACCCTGAAAACCCCAAAGAGTGACCAGCATCTATATCACTCTTGAATCACACATTGAGGCCCTGAGAATGAAGGAACTGATTAACCCTTTAACTCCCAAGATCTCATTAGTAATTCTCCTTACTGTCTGTCATACAATTCTTTTGATGTAAATTTGGAGAATTTGGTATTGGATCAATTAATAATCCTTTAATTGATATTTTTCTTTATTCTCATCACTTTTATGCTTGATATTGTATTGATATTGTAAGGAGAAATTCTCTCTTGGTCACTCATGGGAGATAAAGGGTTAAGAAGAACTTGAACACATCCGATTTTGAGGCTGGTTTATTTTCAGTACATTGACTTCTCTATGATTTCGTAATTATTTTCATTTGAATCACATCCAATATACCACAGACTTATATAGGTATTTATATTCCTAGACACTCAATGAATCTAAACTTATATATAGATATTTTAATTAACATAGTATTGTTTATTTAACTATTGTAAAAAAATTTTATAAATTAGTATTAAGCAGGTCCACTCTCAACCTGCATTAACAAATAAATTATGCTAATTTGTTATGTTATGATTGTTAAGCAAATTCTCGTTGTTAGCACGTTGAGAAATATATAGAGAACAGTGTGGAGAATATGCATACTGATGTTAGGGTGTAAAGGGTGAAAAGTCAATCCTTCAACCACGCTACTTCAGTAATTTGCCCAAAAATGCCCGAGTCTACATTTGCTTTTTACAGAACCAAATGGTTTTCGTCTTAAAAATTTGCTATCCTCACTTACGTTTCCAGTATATGGAATATATACTGTTTTTCATTGTACCACGTTTTTAATGTGTGTGATTGTTTTCAGAATCCTGGGACAGAACTTGAAGAGTCCTACTTGAATTTTGTCAAACTTAATTTAGAAAGTTTCAGAGATTACTTGAACGACGAGAAAATGAAAAAGCAGTTAATAAAGGTCAGTTAAAAGCTTAGCATATAATTTATACAATTTTTAAGGCAGAGATATACAGTAATATGCGTCTCCACCCTCGTTGTCCAGGATTACACACACTCTAAGTTTACCTCCTTTAGAATTTTCAGCGTTTGCTTTGATGCTTTCAGGACTGGTACACGTCCATAATAACGAAGATATATGACTGGCTATCGGACAGAATGAACATGGCGTTACACCAGTATCAGGTCCAGACTCTTCACGCACTTGCGGCGGTAAGTAATGTCACGCAACTCATCCCGCATAATTTATGTCACGTAACGTTATGCATATCTCCCTGTTCTTTCTTTTCGAGTGATTTTCTTTACAGAACTTTTTGGAAAGAGATTGTTTAGTGTGAGCGTGGTGGTTACAAACAATCCTTTTTAATCGATTATAATTTCTAACTATTTAATTTCCATTTTTCAATCTATTTAATCATTTGATCACCTGCTTTTTTTGTACTGTAGCAGTTAGCTATTTTAAATTTTCTAAGCAAGCTTGCAAAAATTTCCAGGAGCTCCCGCAGTTTGTCAACGAGGACTTATCGTCAAGCCGAGCCATTTATTCCTGCACATACAAAACCATGTTTTCTCGGATCCGACTGGAGGACGCCATGTTAAAGGGTCAAAGCATCTACGGCGCAGAGGATCAGTCTTACCCCGGAGAGGATGGGGAAGATGACGGCAAGGAGACTGAGTCGAGTGACGAAGAAGCACTCATTAGATTGGAGACTGGAAACTAGTGTTTTGTTGGAAATGTTGAGAAACGCTTTGTAATCAGATAACTAATAGTTTATTAAGATAATTTACGCTTAAGTATTGGCGTAAACTATAATAAATTAAAATATGTTATTATTATTATTATTATTATTATTATTATTAAGCAACATAAAAATTTTCTGTATGTTTTATGATAGTTCAAAAATTTGTCAGATGAAAGTATTGGTAAATAGATGAATGAGATAAGGTGCCAGGAAGACTGTGGTGCTGCGTTGGTGAAGGATTTTATAGGACAATTCGGTTTTATCAACTGAGTCGATAATGTAAATTGGCCGCCGTACAGAGTTTCTAAAGCGGACGTTTCGAGCGTGAGTCTTTCGTCAAATCGGGCTCAGGATTAACACTTAAAAAAACTCTTTACAGTGGCCAATGAACATCATCATCTCAGTTAGTAAAACCAAATTATAGTAGTAAATAGAGTTATTTCAGAAATCCCTTAACTATTGTCTCGTCAGCATTTCAAGTAGCAAGGTGTCAAGAAGTAAGAGGTATTATTTAGCCTCAAATAAGTAAGTTATTTGTTCTTAATCTTGGCCAAGCTTTAGGAGTTACAAGCTTCGAGAATTGTTCTTTCCGCCGGGAAGAAAGTAAAGTAAATATACTGTAGTCTTGGTAGCCTAAGAGGAAACTGTTCACAGGAAAAGGAAAAAAGGATATTCAATAATGAATTACACGCCTATATCTTGTTTTGAAGGAAAGAATTAATTCACTCGTTTGTCGTGTGGAAAGGAAAAACATTGAGTATGTCTGGGCTTGGGATCCGCGCCTCGAGTGCCACTTTGTTGTTCACACCACATTATGACGTCATCTGTGATACATAACTGAACAGAAGCAAGGCAACATGGAATCTACATGTCAAGTAGATGGCTATTAGCGTAACTAATCAGACTGCAGCTTTTACGATACACCACTTGTAGATTTCTAATAACGCGTGATATATCATGGGTGAGAGAGAGAGAGGGAGATAGAGGGGGGGAGAGAGAAAACTTCCAATTTATCTGAAGTAAATGCACACAGTAGTTTATTTTCCCTAAGCTGCATTGGTTAACGCACACTGTAGTCTCCTTCGAAGCCATTGTTTTGTCTCGTCACGCAACGCCCTCTCTCCCGCGTTGGAGAGAGACCGTTGCGTGACAAGAGCGAACAACGGCTGCGAAGGAGGATACGTTAGCATGCGGGACCTCATTATAAGCATTTGGTAACCAGCGCTTCTTCGCCCGTACGAACGTATGAGACCTTCAGGAATACGAGCCAACGAGGGGTGAGTACGGGGTCTGGTACAACTAATTAGTGCCAGATTCCCTGCAAACCTCACGCTGACTTGTCTTGCAAGGCAAACGCGATCTCGGACCTCTCAGGGGTGGGCTGAGATTCACCACGCGCCTATAACCTTAAAATAGACACACGCTACTGATTCTAATTTTAAATTTGGCTGTTTCACCATACAAAGCAATGAAGCGTTCAGAGTTAGAGTCAAGGTAAGCACGATGTTTATTTGTTAATGCGCTGATGTGTTCATGTGATTCTCATAAATTTTCCAATTCATATTTCAACGCCTTTGTAACTAGAGCTGCTCTTACAGAGACCATTATTATATTTATTAATATTCTGACACAACATGAATTGCCATAGAAGAACGTTGTTCTTAGAAAATTCCCTCTTTTCTTAAAATTTTCTTCGTATCCCTCGGAGAAAAAATTTCTGACGCATTAACATCAGTACTTCTGCCGTGTTGAGTCAAATTCGTTTCATTCATATCTATCCATCAGCTGGATAACAATCAAACCGCTTGTGTGAACTTAGTTAAATATACATGCCCAATTTGTGCCCAAAAACGTCATGAGAAGTTTACAAATGTTAACTTCATGTACATATTGCTTTTCACGCGCGGGGTCA